CTATCATACATATATATTCCAATATTCTTGTCATATTATAAATATTAAAGATAATATGAATTAATTAATGCTCACTTCATTATAGGTATAAGTTTAAATCATTCCCAATAAATGAAGTCTTTTAACACCTACATATTTAAAAAATCTGCTGATAAGAACAATCAGAATATTATTTTTCTCTATAGCATCAATATAGGTACAAGTTGACATAATAGGAAAATACGATAGGAATAACATTTGTGCATATGTTTACACGATGGATGGAAAAATAAAACACGACATATGTACATGAATTATTATGTGTACTGTTGAATGTTTCGAATATTTATGGAGATATTGTATATATAATGTTTAAAAAAATCATAAATAACTCATTATTAGATTAATATATAAATCATTTCATTAAAGTAAAAATATATGTTTGGAATACTTTATAGCCCACAAAAGTTAATTTAAAGAATCCGCAACAATAATGGACCCCTTGTTGGTTGGTTTCATCTAATTATTGGCTGTTTTAGATTTGGTTTTAATTAAGCATTAGCTTCAAAGAATGGTTAGCCAATCGGCTTCAAAGAACACAAATAAATGATATTTTTGGCAGTTATGATAATAAAACTTTTAATTATACTTGGGAACATTTCTTCTTCAATACATTCTTAGGAACATAATTTTCTATATTTCATCTATATTATTAAATTGAACTTAATATCTAAAGATGATATATATCAATCTAATTTGTTTCGTTTGTAATATTAAAACTTAAAATTTAAATTTTATTTAAAGAATTTAACATCTTATACTATTAAATAATTCATTTTTATACCATAAAACAAAATTATATAGTATTAGTGAAATTTATAATTTTATGAAATGAAAAGGAGAGAAGTTATGAAGAACTTACCGTCCAGTATGTGAACAATCTCGGCCTGCTGTCACCATAAAGCTCCGGACTGACCTAACTAGTAGAATTATCAAAACTTCAGAAGACTCTAATACCTTAATTGTTTTGTTTACTTTCTTCTTAATTTTCAAAAACTATATAATTAACAGATGGTGTGCTATTAACCGTAACTATTTACTTAGTGTATTTTATATTGTTTAAAATTAAATTTATTAAAATGTTCTACATTAAATTAATTTTTAAATATCTTTATGAATAATTGAAAATGGAAAAATAAGTTAAAACAAAATAAAACTATGCACAATCAAAGAAGAATCTTGAAGTGAATAAATGATAATAATGACAGTAGTTATTATTGTCTATAATTATTTTGTAATCGAAAGAAGAGAATAATATTACAGTTGATAATAAAAGGAGGGGGTATGGGATTACGTGCATGTAAGGACAGGAAATGGAAGGAGTACCTGCCATCCAGCTTCGATGCTGTTGAGATCAGAGCCGTCAAATGATCCCGAAAGTATCCAAATCTGTGATAGACTGAATTCGTTGACCTCTTGGATTGATGGGTCCCACACGTTTATCGTCGCCTTCGCTCCGTAAACCTCTTGGGATGTTCCCGTGTATGCAATCGCATGCTAAGAAAATGTGCACAGGCATCAATCACCATCTATTCCGATTCGTTTTTGACTTCTTCAAGAAAATGAGTTATCGAAGGTGAGAGATACTACTCCACAAATTAATATTTTGGACCAATATGTTTATATTCATGCAATTAGTCGATTTGTGAACGAGAATTAAGGAAGAAAGTAACTAATTAATTGAAAGAGAGTTAAAAGTTCCCTTTCATTTTGAAAGGCCAAATAGCTCATCTTCAAGAAGATGATCTATCACATCTTTTCCATATTTCCAATCAAAAATCTTATCCACTAATTTGATCAGTTCATTAGACTTTTAAAAATAAAACCCTAGCAAGTCAGTGCCCTTTTTTTTATACTGCATGTTCTTATCATTTTCTCTAAAAATTATTTTTTGTAAATGAGATAATTTTAAATTTAAAAATCATAATAAAAATAAATAAACTAACATACTTCGTGTCCGCCGCCACTAACGACGTCAGGCACGTCGGTCCGACGGGACGTAGGGTTGATGATGGTTGATTGTTTCTTGCCAAAGTGAAACAAAGACTTGGCTCTCAAAACATCATGATTTGTGCTCCGCCGTATGGGAACCGTTCCTTTGGGACATCTTGTTCCATTCCTATGCCACATTTGCCATGCTAAATCTTCTCCTTCTCCCCTCTTTGAATCTCTTCTCTCTTCATCTTTTTTCAACATTTTCACCTTTGGCATCTCTGGTGCAACTCTCTGTCACATATTTCACCATTAGAACTCAGCAAAGTTTTCAAAACTAATAAACTCCACTTTTCAAAATTAATACAGTTACCTGAATCTTGTGATTTTTTAAAAGAGGATGATCCAAAGCTGGTTGCTTCTTTTTTTGAACACAGTCTATGATATCTCCATCTGGACTCTGGATTTTTTTTTTTAAAAAAAAAGACATGAGAAAAAAAAGAGAAATATATGGTCTAGGGCAAGGGTTATGTGTATATAATTATATGTACCTCAATGGTGATGACAGCAGGCTTGTTAATCTTTTCCAAGTGTTTCTGAATTCTTTCAAGCCTCAAGCTACTCACTTTCTTACTGTACTTTGAGTAACTTAAACCCGAAACGAGATCGAATTTCGCAACAAATAAGAGAGAGAAAAGAAGAAGCAGATGTCGATGACGACGAAGAAGAAGATGTAGACGAAGATGAGACAAAACTCCTCTCTTATTAGCAATAATGTTAGTGTTGGAAGCCATTATTATCTCATTCAGAGCCAAAGGAAAGTGATGAAAGAAGGTAACAAAGCATTACTATAAAAAAAAGTCTAGGTAAAAACAAACCACGCACTCTCCCTTACCTTGGAACTTTTTCTACCAGAGAAACAAAGAAAATAAATGAAGCACAATGACTTTTTTCCTTTTTTCTTCTGTCTAGAAAGCTTTAATAGCGGAGAGAATAGAAGTGGTTGAAAGGGTTTAATTAAACCTGAAACAATGAACACAAGCAAGGCAAAGGCAACGGCAACGGTTGGCTTACTATTTCACTATCAAAATCATCATTGCATTGGTTTCATATAATGAAACGAAACACAAAATCATATATTTTATTCAAACCCCGTTTTTTTAAAATTAATTTTGCGGTGTTAAATTTGCTCCAAAAGAAAAAGAAATCAGAAAAAAAAGAAGAAGAGAGTTGAAGGCATTAATAAAATCCCAGACCTACCCAACTGAACAGGTCCCCCTTCTATTTTCATTGCAGTTCTCCTTCAATGTTTGTATCTGCCACCTTATACTCTGCCCTTAATATTTCTTCTTCCATTTATTTATTTTCTTATTAAATACTTAAATCCCTTTTTCTTATTTATAAATACTTAATAATACTTTTATTTATTTTGTTGTGTATACACAACTTTTCAGGTTGTTGTATCATTATCTTTTCTTTACTTCTCAGACTCCCCATTTCTTTACCTTTTATTGAACTCCAAGTAGCACTCGATTGGTATCGTCTTTTTTATCCATCCTTTAAGGCCACCACATGTCAATGCCTTCTCATCAACATTTCCTCACACCTAATTCATACCTCCAATTTATCCATTTTTTGAACATGAAATGTTACCATATTCTTCAGCCTCGTACATCAATTTCCGTCTTCTAGTACAATATTTAATTTATTTATATATTTTTAAAATTTTAAGATTCTAATTTAAATCTTCTTCCTATGTTATTTTTTTACGTATTAATTGCCTTTTTAATGATAGATTATAAGCAGTTAGTTGTAATTATCATCATTTAGTAGTTTTAACATAATATTACTATAATAAAAATAGTCTATTAAAGAATTTCAAAAAATGAAAAAAAAGCTCTTGTTTGATTGAGAAAGGAAAAATAAAAATAGAGAGCGTGTTGTTTGTTGAAATTTCAACATATTGGAGAGGCTTGTAAGTTTCTTATTTCTTTTATAATAACTTTAATTTTCCTTTAGTTGGTAATGTATGAATTTTTTTTACTTATATGAATTTTCAATTTAATATCAATAAATAAGTTTATTTACATAAAATAAAATATAAAATTATTATGGGTGGTTTATAGGGAAAATGGCGCACGGTAAGTCTTCTCTCTCGGTGCATGTTAGCCGGGCTAACAGCAGTTGAGGACGGAGCTTTTTTCCCTTCGATTCTTGCTTTCCTTCTTCCCTCTCTAGATCTCCCCTTGGGGTTTTGTTTGTTCATGGCTGTTGAAGGTATCACATACAGGAGGAAGCTCTTCACGGCGAGTAACGATCAAGAATTGGATTTCTTCCCTTCTTCGGTGGTTGAGGGTTCATGCGTGGTTAAACCGCCTTGGTTGGTATTTGAGGAAGGTATCTCGGAATGGAAAATTTGCTTAGTTGGCCAATTTATTGGTCAGGCTCCAAATTTCGCTTCCCTCCATAGAGCTGTTGGTCTAATGTGGGGTAAGAATTCGTCGGTGAAGGTGAGTATAGCTGGTTCGAATCTATACATTTTTCATTTAATGATTCTTCTGCTAGGACTGGGTATTAGATAATGGTCCATGGCATATTCATCATAAGTTGATTTTTCTTAGGAAATAGGTTCCTAATCTGAAAGAATTACACTTCGATTTGCTTTGTATTCCTATATGGATTCAGCTTTTCATGTGCCTTTAGAATTATTTTCGAAGAAAGGGCTCAGTTATATTGCGAGTGTAATTGGCAAACCTCTTTATATGGACTTGATTATATCTAATAGAGAGCGTCTTGAGTATGCCCGTGTTTGTGTTGAAGTCTCTGCTAGGTCTTAGATCCCTAATTATGTTGATGTAGTTTTGTGTGATGAGTCATTGGCTAGAATTAGGGTTTATGTGCCTTAGATGCCTAGTTCCTGTGTTGATTGTGGGCGATTTGGGCACTCTGCAAAGTATTATTCCCAAGGAAAGCAAGTGGATCATGTTTGGAAGGTCAAAGCTCCTGTGCCAGCTTCTAAGTCAGGTGGATCTACAAAAAGTGATGAGAATTTTATGGAAGCTGGGAGTTCTATTGCTGGTACTGTTGTCTCAATGGATCCTATCCCTAGTAATGTGCAAAATGTTACTGCTAATGCTAATATGGTTCCCCATACTGTTACTGCTGATAACAATTTGGCTGATACCTCAAAGTTAGCTGGGTCTTCTGTTAAAGTCGACTATCATTCTGTTGCTGATGGCATCTTGGCTATTACTGTTGGCAACACTTTGGTTGATGCCACGAGAAAAAATGTGACTTTTCTGAGAGCTTGATGTGGCTTCTCACCCAAAGTCAGATGGACTCTCTCCCATTGTTGACAATCTTCCTATTCTTTTTGATTCCACCTTGGCTGATGTAGCTGAAGCAATCTGAGCCCTGTTATGGAGACTTGTTATGGGTCCTTGGAAGGAACTGTTGTTGGGTGTACTGCAGTGTCTGGTCTTGAACCTAGACATTGTTGTAGAACAGGCTAATTACCCTCCTTTGAAGAGGGACAGGGGCAGGCCAACGAAGGATGTCAAATTTGTAGGTGGTGTTTCTAAGAATAAATTTGATGTTCTCTCCTCCATTGATCCTGACAGCTTGGTGAATATTCCTCCTGCTGATTCTTCCAGGAAGCAAAGGGGTGCAGTTCTGGGTGCTTCCAAAATTGTTCAAGAGCTGAAGATGAAGAAGAAAGAGCATGTTGATAAGGTTAAACACATTGAGGAAAGATGTGGTACTTCTTCCTCCTCTACTTTGGCATGTTAGTGTGTTTTTGGAATGTTAGGGGCTTTAATAGTTCCCTTAAGCAAAGTGTTGTGCTGAAATGGGTTGTTAAATGCCATATTAATATATTATGTCTTCTTGAAAATAGAGTGAGGGAGTTTAATTCTGGAGATATTTTGTCAGGGAAGATTGTTGATTGGAGTTTTTGCTGCAATTATAGCCATGCAGAAAATGGCCGAATTTGGGTGCTTTGGCAAAATCACTTAGACTGCTCCATAGTTTCTGTTTTTAATCAGAGTATTACGTTCAAGTGTGTTTCTGGTGATAAGTGTTTCTTCACTACTACAGTATATGGTTCAAACGACGGCTCTGCCCGCGTTCACCTATGGAATCAGCTTGGTGCAATGGCCAATGTTGTGAGGAATTACGCTTGGTTTAATTGTGGTGATTTCAACGTTATTATTAACTTGAAGGATAGCTCGAGTCCCATTAATTCTTCTACTTTATCTGATATGTCTGACTTCCAGAATTGTGTTGAGGAGCTGGAATTTTCGATCATCAATTTGTTGGCCCTTTGTTCACTTGTTCTAACAAGCAACAGGGTTCTTTCCTGGCTCGCAAGTTAGACCGTGTTCTCATCAATCCTAGCTGGGCTGTGGCTTTTCCGTCCTCGGTAGTAGAGTTCCAGGCTCCTGGTGATTCGGATCACTGCCCGGCTATTGTCTAGCTATATAGGGACATTCCCACCGACAAGCCGAAGCCTTTCAAGTTCTTTAATTTCTGGGCTATGCACCCATATTTTATGTCTATTGTCAACGACTCGGGGCAGCTCCCTGTTATTGGAAATTCTGCCCAGGCGCTTTTCTTAAAGCTCAAGCATTTAAAAAGTCGTCTCAAGGATCTCAACAAGTCCCACTTTTATGATATTTCGGGACAGGTTCAAAGAAAGAGAGAAGAACTTAAAAGTATTCAACTCTCTAATTTGTGTCCTGTTTTTGTTGGCAATTTTATTAATGATGAGCTGATGGTTGAGAGAGAACTTCAGTCCCTTAAGCAAGCGGAGTTGATTTCCTACAAACAAAAGGCTAAAATTGACTGGATTAAGGATGGTGACCAAGGTACACGTTTTTTTCATTCTATGGTGACCAGCAGGAGGATGAGCAATACTATCCGAGTCTTTTATGACCAAGATGGGTTCAAATTGGATTCTTTCGAGGGCTTTTCGAATGAGGGCATTCGATTCTTTAAGTAGCAACTTGGGATGGTTGATCCTAATGTGAACCAATGTAATGTTAATATCATTAAGGACCTCCTTGATTTTTCTCTGCCTAGAGGTGTAGCTGATGCTTTGATCAAGGATATTTCTAATACGGAGATTAAAGATGCTATTTGAGGTCAAAGAAATAATAAATCTCCTGGCCCGGATGGCTTTAATGCTACTTCTTCAAGTGTGCGTGGCCTATTGTTGGGAATGACTTCTTAGCAGCTATCAGGTACTACTTTGATAACTCTTTTATGCTGCCATCTTTTAATGGTACTGTTGTAGTCTTGGTTCCTAAAGTCTCCAACCCGAACATGGTTAAGGACTATAGACCCATTTCTTGTTGCTTGGTCATTTATAAAACAAACACTAGGATCTTGGTGAACCGGTTATCTGTTATTTTCCCTAGCATGATCTCTATGAATCAATCCACTTTTGTGAAGGGGAGAAGCATTGTAGATAATACGCTACTTGCCCAAGAACTTGTTAGAGGTTATTCTAAGAAGAATATCTCACCTAGATGTGCTCTTAAAATAGATTTGCAGAAGGCCTTTGACTCTTTAGATTGGGAATTTATGAGAATCGTCTTACTTGCTCTGGGTTTGCCTGAAAGATTTGTTGGTTGGATTTGGGCTTTTATTACGAACCCTAGCTATTCAGTCGTTCTTAATGGTAGTCTCGTTGGCTACTTTAAAGGCGCTCGGGGTGTTAGGCAGGGTGACCCCCTTTCCCCTTATATTTTTGTCATGGCCATGAATGTTTTATCCAAGCTGTTGAACCTTGCTGCTTCTAAGGGAGTGTTTAATTTCTATCCCAAGTGTAAAAAAA